GGAAAGCACTGGTTTGGTAATAGAGTTGTGGATGAGTGGAACAAACTCCCGAGTACAGTTATTCAGGCTAAAACGTTGTGTAGTTTTAAAAATAGGTTAGATAAATACGTGAGTGGGTGTGAGTTGGACCTGACTAGCTTGTGCTGCTGGGTCTGGTGCAGTGCTCCATCCTTGAGTTTAGGTGACCAGACTGGGTGGGTCATTGGGCTAATCTGGGGGAGGGGGGGTTGGGGGGACATTGACCTGCTCCACATGGGTCAGTAGGCCTGTTGCAGTGTTCCTTCTTTCTTATGTTATGTGCCTACTAATAACAATAATAATAATAATAATAATATTATAACAATAACAATAATAATAATACAATGGTAATGATAATAATAACAGTAAGGAGAAACTTCAAAGTAGTTGGTGCCACCATCAGCAAAACATTGGTAACCACTACTAGTGCACTTTTCACCTGTCTAGACTTGAGTAGTCTATTAGTACAGTGGACCCCCAACGTACGATGTGCCCAGCCTACATTAAAACCGGCCTACGATGTTTTTCAGCGTAAAAATTTGACCCCGACATATGTTGAAAAACTTGACCTACAGCATTCGTCCAGTACCTGTCGACATGTCTTTCCGCCTGAGTGCGCCTCAGCTGGCCTACCTTCAGTTAGTGTGCCAATGTTTACAAGCCAGAGTGGTCGCTCCCAAGCATACATTCGGAATATTTTGTATTATTCCAGCGTTTTTAGTGCTTCTAACTGCTAAATAAGCCACGAGCCCAAAGAAAGCTTCTAGTGCCAACCCTGTGGTAATAAGGGTGAGAAATATTATTGAAATGCTATCGTACCACGGTCAGCTGCTGCTGGTGCTGTAGCACGGTCAGCTGCTGCTGGTGCTGTAGCACTGTCAGCTGCTGCTGCTGCTGCTGTGGCACCATCAGCTGCTGCTGCTGTAGCACCGTTGTTGGTGTGGCTTATCGAGAATACCGAGAAACAATTAACCTCAGAAGGTTAGCCACCCAGGATAACCCAAAAAAAAAAGTCAGTGTGTCATCGAGGACTGTCTAACTTATTTCCATTGGGGTCTCTAATCTTGTCTCCCAGGATGCGATCCACACCAGTCGACTAACACCCAGGTGAACAGGAAAAAATGCCTGGAACTAGTGCTCATATTGGTGAATTTAAGGCCAGCAAAGGTTGGTTTGAAAGATTTAAGAATTGTAGTGGCATACAGTGTGATAAGGCCTGTTCTGGAAGAAAATGCCAAACAGCACCTACATTACTTAGGAGGAAAAGGCACTCCCAGGACAGAGTGTCTCATCAGTCATTGCTGCATCTTCAATAAAAGTAAGTGTCATTTATTCTTCATTTAGTAGAGTAGAAAATATATATTTCATGTGGTAATTTTTTTTTTTTTCATACTTTTGGGTATCTTGCATGGATTAATTTGATTTCCATTATTTCTTATGGGGAAAATTAATTCAACCTACAAACATTTCGTCTTACGATGGGCTCTCAGGAACGGATTAATATCGTAGGTCGGGGGACCACTGTACAGTGGACCCCCGCATAACGATATTAATCCGTTCATGAGAGCTCATTGTTATGCGAAATTATCGTTATGTGAATGAATTTTCCCCATAAGAAATAATGGAAATCAAATTAATCCGTGCAAGACACCCAAAAGTATGAAAAAAAAAATTTTACCACATGAAATATACATTTTCCTACACACAAAGAGAAGGATACATGCACAATAGTAGAGCAGTACATGCACAATATATATTGTGCATGTACTACTCTACTAAATGAAGAATAAATGACACTTACCTTTATTGAAGATGCAGCAATGACTGATGAGACACTGTGTCCTGGGAGTGCCTTTTCCTCCTGAGTACTGTAGGTCCTGTTTGGCATTTTCTTCCAGAACAGGCCTTATCACACTGTGTATGCCACTACAATCCTTAAATCTCTCAAACCAACCTTTGCTGGCTTTAAATTCACCAATATGAGCACTAGTTCCAGGCGTTTTTCCCTGTTCACCTGGGTGTTAGTCGACTGGTGTGGGTTGCATCCTGGGAGACAAGATTAAGGACCCCAATGGAAATAAGTTACAGTCTTCGATGACACACTTTTTTGGGTTATCCTGGGTGGCTAACCCTCTGGGGTTAATTGTTTCTTGGTATTCTCAATAAGCCACACTAACAACGGTGCTACAGCAGCAGCAGCTGACAGTGCTACAGCAGCAGCAGACGATGCTACAGCAGCAGCAGACGGTACTACAGCAGCAGCAGACGGTACTACAGCAGCAGCAGCTGACGGTGGTACAGCAGCAGCAGCAGCTGACAGTGCTACAGCAGCAGCAGACGGTACTACAACAGCAGCAGCAGCAGCTGACGGTGGTACAGCAGCAGCTGACGGTGCTACAGCAGCAGCAGCAGCTGACGGTGCTACAGCAGCACCAGCAGCTGACCATGGTACCACAGTATTTCGATAATATTTCTCACCCTTTTTACCACAGGGTTGGCACTAGAAGCTTTCTTGGGGCCCATGGTCACTTATTTTGCAGATAAAATCACCAAAAACACTATAATACAGTGGACCCCCGCATAACGGACGCCATGCATAGCGGACAATCCGCATAGCGGACGCTTTGATCGCTAAAATTTTGCCCCGCATAGTGGACAAAAACCCGCTCAGCGGCCTTCGTCCGAGACGCGTCCAATGTGCGGCCTGAGCCACGCTCACATGTTCCGCGGGTGGCATTGTTTACCAGCCAGCCTCCGCGGTAACATCCAAGCATACAATCGGAACATTTTGTATTATTACAGTGTTTTTGGTGATTTTTTTCTGGAAAATAAGTGACCATGGGCCCCAAGAAAGCTTCTAGTGCCAACCCTACAGCAATAAGGGTGAGAATTACTATGGAGATGAAGAAAAAGATCATTGATAAGTATGAAAGTGGAGTGCATGTCTCCGAGCTGGCCAGGTTGTATAATAAACCCCAATCAACCATCGCTACTATTGGTGGTACAGCTGCTGCTGCTGCTGTATCACCGTCAGCTGCTGCTGCACTGTCAGCTGCTGCTGCTGTACCACCGTCAGCTGCTCCTGCTGCTGTAGTACCGTCTGCTGCTGCTGTAGCATCATCTGCTGCTGCTGTAGCATCGTCTGCTGCTGCTGTAGCATCGTCTGTTGCTGCTGTAGCATCGTCTGCTGCTGCTGCTGCTGCTGTAGCATCGTCTGCTGCTGCTGTAACATCGTCTGTTGCTGCTGTAGCATCGTCTGCTGCTGCTGTAACATCGTCAGTTGCTGCTGTAGCATCGTCTGTTGCTGCTGTAGCATCGTCTGCTGCTGCTGCTGCTGTAGCATCGTCTGCTGCTGCTGTAACATCGTCTGTTGCTGCTGTAGCATCGTCTGCTGCTGCTGTAACATCGTCAGTTGCTGCTGTAGCATCGTCTGCTGCTGCTGTAGCATCGTCTGTTGCTGCTGTAGCATCGTCTGCTGCTGCTGCTGCTGTAGCATCGTCTGCTGCTGCTGTAACATCGTCAGCTGCTGCTGCTGCTGCTGTAGCACCGTTGTTGGTGTGGCTTATTGAGAATACCAAGAAACAATTAACCCCAGAGGATTTGCCACCCAGGATAGCCCAAAAAAGTCAGTGTCATCGAAGACTGTCTAACTTATTTCCATTGGGGTCCTTAATCTTGTCTCCCAGGATGCAACCCACACCAGTCGACTAACACCAGGTGAACAGGGAAAATGCCTGGAACTAGTGCTCATATTGGTGAATTTAGAGCCAGCAAAGGTTGGTTTGAGAGATTTAAGAATCGTAGTGACATACACAGTGTGATAAGGCCTGTTCTGGAAGAAAATACCAAACAGGACCTACAGTACTCAGGAGGAAAAGGCACTCCCAGGACACAGTGTCTCATCAGTCATTGCTGCATCTTCAATAAAGGTAAGTGTCATTTATTCTTCATTTAGTAGAGTAGTACATGCACAATATATATTGTGCATGTACTACTCTACTATTGTGCATGTATCCTTCTCTTTGTGTGTAGGAAAATGTATATTTCATGTGGTAAAATTTTTTTTTTCAAACTTTTGGGTGTCGTGCACGGATTAATTTTATTTCCATTATTTCTTATGGGGAAAATTCATTCGCATAGCGAACATTTCGCATAACAGCCAGCCCTCTTGCACGGATTAAGGTCGCTATGCGGGGGTCCACTGTAATACGAAATGTTATGATTGTATGCTTGGATGTTACCGCGGAGGCTGGCTTGTAAACAATGCCACCGGCGGAACGTGAGGCTGGCTCAGGCCTCACATAGACGTGTCTCGGACGAACAGCGTTGAGCGGGTTTTTTAGCGGTATGCGAGGCAAAATCTTAGCGATAAAATGTATCGGTATGCGGATTTAACGTTATGTAAGGCCAACGGTATGCGGGGGTCCACTGTATTATGTTAAGTCTGCCCGAAGTGACTCAGCATGACTGAGGCTGTCTTTGCTCCAATCATATTACAGTATATGTAAATACACATTGTAACCTTTGCAAAGAAATAAATATTTTATTTATTTATTTATTTATTTATTTATTTAAGGAACCTCCCTTGTTGGGGAAGTTCGCATCCTGAAATTTTGTTCGTATCCAGAAGCAAAAAATTGACCGAACAACAATTCGTATCCTGATAAATTCACATGGTGGGGCGTTCACAAGTGAAGGTTCCACTGTATTTTTAAATGTTTATACAGCAGTGTACTGTATACTGTAATGAACAGAATACTAAGAGGAAATCAGCTCTAATATACATTACTCAGGTTTGCATACTGGTTGGAAAGCCAGTCGTAAGTCTGAGTGGTTGGTAAATGAGTAATTTGCTAAGTGAGGAGAGGCTGTATTACCACATGCATGTCCATTTCCTTGAATACTAAATACAGTATTTATTTTTTTCTCTAACACCATTTTAATTCAGGTCACTTTAATACTATGAATTAGCTATCAATTACCTCCTCCTTTTTTAAGTTGAGCATATCAGACTTCTCCTGCTTCCACAAGTGCTGGAGCTTTTCAGCGAGACCAGAAAGAAACTGAGCAACGTTCTCGGGATTGTTGGCCATACGCTCTTCTAAGACGTATGCAGCATGATTTTTATAATTTAGTAAATCAGCTTGTTTCTGCCGCAAGGATATCAGTTCTTCAAGGATAGGAGTATTTTCTTCCATGCACCTGAAAAAAATTGATAGAATCATTAATATAACTATGCATGTTATTTTCAACATAGTTTTGAGGAACAAGTATTTCAAGGTATTTTCCCTTTAACAGTTTTTAAAAAGCTTTCTTTCCCTGACTGAACAGTCTTCTTATTCCTGGTTTCTAGCTTCAAAACTTTGATTTTTTTACATATTTATTTTCATTAACACATCAGCCATTTCCCACCAAGGCAGTGTGGCCCAAAAAAGAAAAACTTCCATCATCATTCACTCCATCACTGTTTTGCCAGAGGCACGTTTACACTACAGAGTGCTGGCACCATACTTCCCACCTCCAGGAATCAAGTCCAGCCTGCCAGTTTCCCTGAATCCCTTCATAAATGTTATCATGCTTACACTCCAACAGCACGTCAAGTCCTAAAATCCATTTGTCTCCATCTGCTCGTATCTAAAATGCTCACACACGCTTGCTGGAAATCCAAGCCCCCTCACACACAAGACCTCCTTTACCCCCTCCCTCCAACCTTTCCTAGGATGACCCCTACCCCGCCTTCCTCCACTATTGATTTATACACTCTCGAAGCCATTCTATTTCGTTCCATCCTCTCTACATGTTCAAACCATCTCAATAACCCCTCCTCAGCCCTCTGGATAATAGTTTTGGTAATCCCACACCTCCTCCTAATCTCCAAAATACGGATTCTCTGCCAGTAGTGTCACTGATTTCCCATGTAATGTACGTATGTACTTGTGTAATATATGTAGATAGTACCAGCTATGTTATACATAAGCTCCCTGCCTCGCTAGGTTCCTTGGTTAGCTGTGACATCACACAACCCAGCATGTAAGTGCTAGGCTGCAGGCCTCCTCCTCAGACCTCGCTCCGCTCCTGTTACACCAAGCAGGACAAGGCATGGCCCTGGGCTCCCTCAAGACTCTCTCAATATAAGTTACCAACTGACCTAGTGTGTATTACTTCAACCGTCCAATATCTCTGGAACACCTACCCGACATCTCTTCATTATATTCACACCACACATTGCCCTCAGATATGACATCTCCACTGCCTCCAGCCTTCTTGTTGCAACATTCGCCACCCATACCTCACACCCATACAAGAACATTGGTATAACTATACTCTCATACATTCCTGTGTCAGTATAGCTACTGAATTCCCCATACTTATATACTTGTGTAGTATATTGTAGATCATATCATCCATGTATATATTTAGGCTCCCTTTCAGAAGGCTCAGTGACTAGCATGTGTGACGTCACGTGATGCTGTCGTGAGCGCTTCACGCTCGTCCTCTCCCTCAGTTCCCATTAGACCTACCAAGCAGCAGCAGCAGGCAGGCTGGACTCCTCCTCCTCTCACACTCTGCTAATATGCTAATATATGTGTTAACATCCAACGACTGTGTTTAACTCCAACCATCAAATCTCCACAAACCCTCACAACACCTGTCTTTGCTTTCATGGATAAAGTTCTTTGTCTCCACAGATCCTTAGTGCACCACTCACCATTTTACCCTCATCAATTCTATGATTCACCTCATCTTTAACCCCTTGACTGTCGCAACCCCCAATCCTGAAGTGTCTCCTGGTGTCGCAAAATTTAAAAAAAAAAAATTATTTTTTCTTATGAAATGATAGAGAATCTTTTCCCGATTGTAATGACACCAAAAATACAAAATTTGATGGAAAATTGAAGGAATTGCGCTCTCGCAAAGTTAGCGACCCCGGCGATATTTACAAATCGGCGATTTTGCCCACTTTGGCCCCTATTTTCGGCTAATTCCATTGTTCCAGTAGACCAAACTCCTAACTATTTCTTTAGAACTCCATTCTTTCTATCGATTGAGTACAAGAAACTGTCCATTTACTGATTTCAACTACCCAATAACGTGGTCAGAAATCTGCAATTTGGCCAATTTCATGAAAATTAAAAAATATGACAATTTCAAAATAAGGTCCAGAATGAACAATGCAGACATTCCTGGCTCTAAAATAACATTTTCTTTGTTCATCAGTCACGTCTCCAAGCCCCTCTGATATTACTCTTGCTTTCTATTTTGAATTTTTATTCAAACAAAAAATAGAAGATTTACTATTATACAGACTACTGCAATACTGTAATAATTGTATAAATAACATCAACCCATTCATGACTGCATATTAGAATGGCTAGTTCGACATTTATTGGATAATAACCATTTGTTTACTTTTGAACATCGGCAAAAATCAAACATTTCCCCAACTTTGAGTTCCATTTCCAGGTTCTTTTTATATTAAAATCAATCAAAATCACCTCTATTCCTATAATATGTTTTCCATTCTATCAAATGAGACCAAGAAAATGAGAATACAACCATAAATACTATACAAAAATTGGCCACAAATTCGGCATTTTAATTAAAAAAAAAAAAACGGTCTGTGTTTTTTTTCTCATTATGCACTGCATGCTCCAGGATTTTTTTTATATGGTGCACACTGACCACACAGACCCATTCTCTCACATGTGGGCCTACCAGCTTTCTCCTGCTTGATTTGAAGCCGCTAGAATTTATGAGTATATATATGTCAAACACGGTACCTCGTAAGACGTATATATACGATGTCAACAGTCAAAGGGTTAACAGATCCATCTGCTGACATGTCCACTCCCAAATTTCTGAATACATTCACCTCCTCCATTTCCAATCTGATATCCAATTTCCCATTACCTAATTTTTTTTTATCATCACCTTACTCTTTCCTATATTCACTTTTAATTTCTTCTTTTACATACCCTACCTGTCATGGGGGGATTCACCAAGGAGGTGTAAGTGAAAGAATACACACGTATGATGTTCTAAGAGGGGCATAATGCGAGTCTTGAGGGGAAGCCCAGGGCCTGCCTGTCGAGTCTGCAATGCCTAGCGTGGAACTGAGAGAAAGGCCTCTAGCTAGCTGCTCACATGCGAGGTGATCATGATGTCACAGCCAGCCAGGGAGCCTATCTATAATATCTAAGTACAGTGGACCCCCCGCATAGCGACCTTAATCCGTGCAAGAGGGCTGGTTGTTATGCGAAATGTTCGGTATGCGAATGAATTTTCCCCATAAGAAATAATGGAAATCAAATTAATCCGTGCAAGACACCCAAAAGTATGAAAAAAAAAATTTTACCACATGAAATATACATTTTCCTACACACAAAGACAAGGATACATGCACAATAGTAGAGTAGTACATGCACAATATATATTGTGCATGTACTACTCTACTAAATGAAGAATAAATGACACTTACCTTTATTGAAGATGCAGCAATGACTGATGAGACACTGTGTCCTGGGAGTGCCTTTTCCTCCTGAGTACTGTAGGTCCTGTTTGGCATTTTCTTCCAGAACAGGCCTTATCACACTGTGTATGCCACTACGATTCTTAAATCTCTCAAACCAACCTTTGCTGGCTTTAAATTCACCAATATGAGCACTAGTTCCAGGCATTTTTCCCTGTTCACCTGGGTGTTAGTCGACTGGTGTGGGTTGCATCCTGGGAGACAAGATTAAGGACCCCAATGGAAATAAGTTAGACTCTTCGATGACACTGACTTTTTTGGGTTATCCTGGGTGGCAAATCCTCTGGGGTTAATTGTTTCTTGGTATTCTCAATAAGCCACACCAACAACGGTGCTACAGCAGCAGCAGCAGCTGACGGTGGTACAGCAGCAACAGACGATGCTACAGCAGCAGCAGACGATGCTACAGCAGCAGCAGACGATGCTACAGCAGCAGCAGCAGCTGACAGTGCAGCAGCAGCTGTACCACCAATAGTAGCGATGGTTGATTGGGGTTTATTATACAACCTGGCCAGCTCAGAGACACGCACTCCACTTTCATACTTATCAATGATCTTTTTCTTCATCTCTATAGTAATTCTCACCCTTATTGCTGTAGGGTTGGCACTAGAAGCTTTCTTGGGGCCCATGGTCACTTATTTTCCAGAAAAAATCACCAAAAACACTGTAATAATACGAAATGTTCCGATTGTATGCTTGGATGTTACCGCGGAGGCTGGCTGGTACACAATGCCACCGGCGGAACATGTGAGCGTGGCTCAGGCCGCACATTGGACGCGTCTCGGACGAAGGGCGGTGAGCGGGTTTTTGGGCGGTATGCGAGGCAAAATTTTTGCGAGAAAAGCGAGCGGTATGTGGATTGTACGGTATGCGATGCGTGCGGTATGCGGGGGTCCACTGTATGTATACTACACAAGTAACACTACTGACAGCTCGGCCACGTTAACGTATGGCGTCCCGACATGCATCTAACTTATACATACTACAGATTGTAGGCATAATGGCTCTGGGCTGATTCTATACAATACCAAAGTACACAACAGCAGAACCTAAGAGCTATGCATAAGGATGATAACAGATTGTAATGCATTACAAATTACAGTGGACCCCCACATACCGTCGCCATCACATAACGTACAATCCGCATACCGCTCACTTTTACCAAAAATTTTGCCTCGCATACCCTCAAAAACCCACTCACCGTCTTTCGCCGAGATGCCCCAATGGCGCCCTTAGCCAGCCAATGTCCCGCTGGTGGTTTTGTTTACACCCGCCTCCGGGGGAAACCAAAGCATACAAGGGGAAACATTTCTTATTATTACAGTGTTTTTGGTGATTTTACTGCCAAATAAGTGACCAGGGGGCCCCCAGAAAGCTTCTAGTCCCAACCCTCAGCAAAAGGGTGAGAATTACAATAGAGATGAAGAAAGAGATCTTTGAAAGTATAAAAGTGGAGTGCGTGTCGCCGACCGGGCCGGGTTTGTACAAGAAACCCAAACAACCATCGCACTAGTGGGAAAACAAAAAGGCAATAAAGGAAGCTGTTCTTGAAAAAGGTTTTTTAACGTGTTTTCGAAACAGAGATTGCAATGAGGGAAAGATGTTAGGACTCTTATTGGTGTGGATAAATGAAAAAAGCTAGCGGGAATAGCTTTCCAAGTGATCTAAGCAA